CGTGGTTCATATGAATGCTAGAAAATTTCCAAATGTGGGTATATAGCAGCCCATAATTGTGTTTCGAGTAAACCACTTCCAAAGGTCCCCGTTTTACGACCGTCTTTCCAAACTTATGGGCGAAGATTGCTTGGTCCGCAAAAGGAGAAGCACCAGAACGGCATGCAATTCATATTTTCATCCGTAATTGTGCCTTCGAAATAATCCCTACTATATATAAAACGCTATGTCTGTCTGTGTGTGTGTGTCACGAAATTCATAGCGCGCTTCGCTGCAGCGATGGAGCGCTGTATTTTGATTATGATATAGGGGGTGGGACGGGAACATATTTGGTGGGGGTCAGAAAGTGATAACGACTGATAATTTATAAACCACGTTGAAGTCTGGAAACACTCAGCAAAATCTTCCGCATGGGCAGAAAAGATCCCCAACAAAGCGACGTACCCAATGCATCCGGCGGCCACGGAACTCTGCGGTACAGCTCTGCAACAAAAGTAACGACAGCCTTCACGTAAATTTGATAACTAGTAATTCATAGTGATAGCTGATACTGATAAATGATAGTTGTAATTAGTGACAATTGATAGAATACAACTGCAACAGGCTAATCATTTCATCAGCAGAAAGCTATTACATTTTGTGGGAGCCGTCGTCACTTTTATTGTGTAGGTCTGCAGTCGACAGCACTCAGCGGCTGGATACACAGGGTAGTGTCTCCAGCAGTTTCGCACAGAGAGCGTGAAGAGGGCAGCACCGATGAGGGTCGCGCAAATCAACGGGCGAGGAAGGGTCCCATTTTCGGGTTCTGGGCCATTTTTCTCGGTTTTCTTCTTTCGTGTACACTGACCATCCCTAACTTAATTTTCAATGGGCTGCCTTTCCATCCTTAAATCCGCCTTTAAAGGAGGAATTCAATAAGAACGAAGGTCAAAGAAGGGAAAATTGCATAGTTGGGAGACAGGCGGACCTCCTGAGGGTGCTGACCGACGCGCAATTGGCAGCGAAAGATTTTAGCATGGCTCACTCTTGGCGCGGTTGGCGGGGTACGCCCACCGACTATCTAATCACTCGCCGCAGGTCTATACGTGGCGAGTGATTAGATAGCAGAGAGAGCGTAGTGTTGAAGAGGGCACAGCGATGAGAGTCGCATCAATGCGCAAATCAAGGAAGGAAGGGGTCCCATTTCTCGGGTTTCGGGCCGTTTCAAATGGTTTCTTCTTCATCCCTGCTCCACTGACCACCTCTACCCTTATTTCCAATGAGCTAACTTTTCATCGTAAATTCTGCCTTTAAGTAGAATAAGGAGAATAACAAACAGACTTGTTGACCTTGAAAATTCTACTGAAATCCTCAGAAATTCACTACGATTCTAAGAAGATGTCGAATGCATGGCGCATTTCAAAACGCGGTTGAGTAGCACCAATTCATCATTTGGCGATTCAACCTTGTATAATGCGTTTTTGCAATCTAACGATCATTCACGGATCGCTTGCAATAGTCCTCCGACCGTGTTTCTGACTAATCCATCAACATTAGTCGATTAGTCCTTAGTTCACCCTCGAACGCGGCAGTCTCATTTGATGGGTAAAAAACCGTTGTGATCGACTTAGCAAAGAAATCCATCACCGGACACGGCCCGTGCTCACTTTGACCCTTTAGTGCATGGGAATGTCTCGAAATCACCTATCTCAAGAGATTCATTTTAATAATAGTTTTTGAGGTCCTCTCAAAGCTTTTGTGCCACCCTAATTCTTCTCAGAGTCCGGCTTCCGCTTTGGACTGTATCGTTGAACTGATCGAATTAGGAGCCTAATCGTCATCGAGTTCCCTCGATTTGCCGCGCGCCAATGAACAAGTGGCTGTTGGCAGGCAACATTGTCCAAAATCACTGAACTGGAAGGAGCTCATGGCACTTTTTCAAGAAAATACGTCAGTCATCTGATTGACAAAAACCAAAACTGAACGAGGTCGAGTGGGTGATTCTTTCGGAACGAACTTCTTCGTGATCTCATAGAGTTCCTCTTAATCACCATAATAACTGGGTCAGGCTGTACCGTTTTGCCTACTTTTATTCCGGCAGAGGGTGACAGTGATTAATTACGGTACGAGACCGCCGACTATGGGACCCTGTAGCTCATCCATCAGACCATGAATGCCGATTCCACAGCGGTAACGCCTACGATATGCATGAGACACCCCACTGGAAGTGCATCTATTCCAAAAAGGGAGCGTCTAAGGATGAAGAAGGAAGACTACTGCTGCACTACACGGAATTCTAATCATTTGTGAGCAAGAACGCTTAACTGCTTTCAATGACCTGAATTCCTACTTGATAACAGGCCAATTTTTTCTATGAGTATTTAGCGGATTTGAAGAGATGCCCATGGAAAGAGAGGCTTTGTGTGAATGTAGAAAAATTAGTTTATTGAATGTTGAAAGGTCTTGTTAACAAATTGGAAGAGAGCGGTTGATTTTCCCTCACGGAGCAGATCCCTCATATTTATTGTAGAATGGACCCGTGGCAAAAACTCACTCTCAAAAGTTAGCTTCTGAAAGGCGAGCTAGAAACGACGTAACGCAGTTATCGTTAGGCAGTGACGATCTAATATAACCGACACACTCAGTGATTAAGTTTGTCCCGCAACGGAGATGGAACGTGCGCTCAGAAGTCATAGCTCACTGCCTAGGAATCCACTCTTTCTTCCCAACTAGTTCCTTGTCTATCTGCGGTCACAATCAGTCTCCCGCGAATTGCCGGTTGATCTTCTCTAAGCTCTTTTTCTTTTTCTTGATCATCTAAGAGAGGATCAACCATGAGCCCACAACTCTTGGCTGAGATCACACACACCTTCAAAGGCCATCGTGAGGGTGAGGACTTGTTTGAGGGCATGGCTCTGACGCTTGCCAGACCGTGGCCGATTTTTCCTTTTTTCGACCGGAAGGTTCACTGTGGCTCTACCCTACGTGAGCACCAGACGTTGCTCAATTCAAGTGGAATTCCAACACGTTTACGAACGAAATCGCCATTGGAGAACGTGAGCTGGCACCAGTTAACTGAAGACTGAAAAGAGGCGTGTGCTATCAATTTTCTGTAATAATAATTCCAGTGTATCTGCAGCTATAAGCTGTCACACTTCCTATTATGCATTTCGCATGGTCATAGAACAGTCGCATGATAGTCTAATCCTAGTTACCAATCGCATATGCTGCTCATCTCACCTTTTAGGTACACCTAGCTGCTTTCCCGAAGAAATTTTCAATAGTTTCGTTGATCAATCGAGAAAGCTGATGGAGTAGGAGCAAGTGACGCCGCTTAGCACTCTCCCACGTCTTTGAGGCAAGTTGAGGAACGAATTCACCTAGGCCATCCGAAGTTTCCCACTTCTTCAGGGTGTTAACTGGTACCCACTCATCTCGTATGTAAAACAAGGCTTGAATCTTTCACCTTTATTAAATAAAGAAAAGCATTTCAAACAAACAAACAAACAAACCATTTCATGTTAATGAAACCTGATAAATAGCAAACAATTTGTGCCAAGTGAACCTAATTAGAGATGTAAATCATCAATATTTTGAAATGAATAAAAGTTATAAAGATTTATTCTATAATTGGTGGTGAAATTAGTATATCTCCCAAATCTTTCTTCCTCTCCTCCTTTCTGATGAGTTGGAGAGGCTCTCCTCTGTCGTTTTTGTCCTTCTACGGGCGCATGCGAAGCGGGAGACTAACCTACCTCTCGAAAGACTCACTGGCCTCAAACAGAATTTTAAAAAAGTGCAAAAAGTAATACTCGAATTTGAAACATCTCTTAGCTCAAATACAAATCCTGGAAGATAATGAAATATACTTCAAGTATAATCCAACAAAATAATTTGAATGATATACAAACAGTTATTTTTTATTGTAGACCTCTTCCCAAGATAAACTTATAAGACAAAAGAACAACATAAAGGAAGAAACATAAGAAATATTGTCACGTTCAAACAATACTATGAATCAGGATTGAGGTGGAATGAGTGCCCAGAAGAAGGGTGATGGAATTGAGAATTTCTTTTCAGCGAAGCATCATTTTTGTGCTTGAACAGCCGAGGAAATCGAATCTGGAAGAAACACAGGTTTTTATTACCAGTACACTTGCTGTATTCGCTTCTAGATGGACCGTAATTTTCTCTCTTGACGCAATGCTTTAACAGCTAGGACACTCCTGTTCAATTTGAGGAGCGTTCCGATATCTAATTGGCGTAATATGTATCTCTAAGGGTGCGAAATAATTGGCGTCGGGGAGACGGCGGGTTGTTGTTACCTTGAAATGTTTCCCGAAATATGTCGCCTTCTCGTCGAACGAACACAATTCACGGACATCCGGGGATATCGATAACACCGCCAGAAGGTCAACACAACACTTCACTAATGAATGGACTTGCAATTGACACCAAAAACCATTTATTCGATCCCAAACACTTTGAATTGATCAATCAGAAATAATTCAAGATAATAGTAACATTGATAAGATAATCCGATCAAATACAATTTCAATGTAATTGAAAGACACTGCAAAAGAACGAGATCAACTTCGGGAGAGATTCTTCCGCTTACAGCTTTCCTGCTTCAAAATCGTGGGTGCCTGTAGGGCCTGCTAATCTGAAAATCAGTACTTTGGTGTTGTTTTCGTTCACTTGGTTCCTTCTGCATGTCGTTAGTAATAAGTGGATCGCAGTAGCATGTGGCGCCGCTATTATCAACCGCACCGTCAGAGATCAAATCCCGGATCTGGTGACATCGCCAAACCCTGCCAACCCATTCGTGTATGTAGCGTCGGTAAACAGTTACCGAATTCGTCTCATGATCATCAAAAGCTTAACTTTACATACGTTGGCTCCAACAATGACCATTAAAAATGACGTGAAGCTCGGAAAACTGTCACTTTATCTCAGAAACTCTCAGCCAATTATTGAGATCTGTGATCTCTCTATTTTTTGTTTATCCTTTATGACTCATTTGAAACTGTTAACTTAACTCATCATCTTAGCCGATCTGAAGCTCAAGAGGGTATAATGTTTACGGTTCGGAGCCACTGCCCCACTTTCTGTGAACTTCATCTCAACTCCGCCCATATACCGTATGAATAGCTGCCAGCGGCTCTCAAGTTTAAATTACCCTAATTTCCGGTAGATAAGCCTGCGCCAATTTCACGTAAAACACCTCCGCTCGTGCAGTGTAACTTTGTACACCTTAGAAACTACCGTAAATTTGCCTATAGAGGTAATTCGATGCCCTGATTACGAAAATGACTTTCATTTTTAGCGGTGGCGCCATCTGGCGCCAGTTGGCGTCACCTTGTCACGACCCTTGTTTTCACCAAAATCGGTGTAAACTTCTGTATAGGGGTTATTTGGTGCCCTGATTACGAATATGACATTCGTTTTTGGCATTAACGTTGTTCAGTGCATATTTCTCGGTTGGAGAGCGCAGACGAGCAGAAAATAGGCGCCAAATAGCGCCAGCGCCGAGAATGAATGTCATATTCGTAATCAGGACACCAAATAACCCCATAGAAGTTTACACCGATTTTGGTGAAAACAAGGGTCGTGACAAGGTGACGCCAACTGGCGCCAGATGGCGCCACCGCTAAAATGAATGTCGTTTTCGTAATCAGCATATCGAATTACCCTATGGGCAAGTTACGGTTGTCTCTAGATGTACGCAAGTGCACTGCACCAGCGGAGGTGTTTTTACGTGATATTGGCGCGGCTTATCTACCGGAAATTAGGGTAACCTCCTTTTTTCGCCTCCTGACCACTCATGCTCCTCTCTTCATTTGCCTGTAGACGTACGTGCAATAAAGATTGTGAATGAAGGGATGCGTACGAACGAAAGGACCTGTGTGGCACGACAGAAGAGCAGATACTCCGACGAATCCCATTTAATCATTTTGATTTCAAAAATAAACCTAAAACAAAGAAATGGAGATACCTGAGGTCTTTCAGTGACAACTACGCCCGCACCCCAATTGAAACCGTCCTTGCCGACTCCGAGCGACGATCTCGGTCCACTTCTGGCATCCACCTGTGACAAGATCGTCCGAGATTGGTGCTGAATACAGGAAAAGCGATCAGAATCTAGTCCAAACAAAACTGAAATAATGGGAAAGGTCCAATGTCCTAGGGGCCCAGGTTATTGTTACATAGACTGTAACTCGGGGGCGGACTCGTGAAATTGGAGCCGTGCGGATTTGCCATGAGGAAAATGGGAAAGGTATTTTCCTGAAACCCTATCCGCAAGCTGTCTGTGGCTAGAGTCTGCCAACATTTCCATGTTCTAGCCCATCTAAATATCGAAACAAAGCCGATAACCAATGCTTTTTTTGTCTGTTTTCCATTAATTATAACTCTTGTGACATCTCTTTTGGAGATTCGATCTGAGCCCATTTCCGAATTCTAAAAGAAGGAAATTATAACGCGTCGCACCTTTAATGCCAAAGTTTCCTCCGCCCCAGCCAAAGTTTGTATTGTGATCGACTCCGTCGCCATTGTTGTTGATGCCTCTTTGGAAGTTAAGACCGTCTTTATCGGCTTTGATTCCTCCGAAAAGAAGCGGAATTTCGATCGAGGATACTGAAATGTTTGCATGGTTATTAAACTATCATACCCTTGATCAGAACTTTTGTGAACAATGCTCACTTTAATTACTGTATAATTGGATCTGACTAAAGGTTAGGCGAGGTTAGGACGACAATAGTTCGTTGGCCAGCTTGCGTGGGGTAGTACACAATTTCATGAGGAAAAGCGTCCGGCGGATGGTGAAGCCATTACGCTTCAGCAGCTACCATTCAATGTTCTCCAAAAACTTCGGGGTTGCTCCTCTGTGGCACGATCGATGCGCCACAAATGCCCCCTTACAAAATAGCCTTCACACCTCACTCACATTTCATGATTTACCGCCGCATTTTAGCAAGACGTATTAATATGCTAATCCCTGATGCGTGGAGATAACTTAAATATAGGCAAGAGCGATTATATGGAAACATTAAATGGCCTTTATATATGGATTCAACTTTCTCTATATTGTAAAATTAAATCTGTTTTTTCGATCTCAATATTTTTATATGTTTATTCAAAATTTATTTAGGGGGTGGGATTCAAAGAGTAGTTTAGTCTCCGTTTCGCACGTGCCCTTAGACGGAGACTAAACGAAAGAGTATCCTCTCCCTGTGCTCATCAGTAAGGGAGGAGAGGTATAAAGAATTTGACTTTACATTATATATGCAGTAATTATTACAATCAAAAGTTTAAAAGGGTCTAGCCCGGTTCAAACAGACATGAGATATTAAAGACTCACCGCAAACCATAACCGTAAGGAAAACCGCAAGAGATTTCATGACTGTAGCAAGGTTAGTACTAGATGGCAGAAGTGATGACAATGGCCACAGATGATGTGGACGGATGACCTCTTGGTGACCCGGTCGCTTAGAAGAATGGAAAAATCGATCCTTTAATGACCATTGGGTCGAGAGGCCACCGTGGTTTTCGAAATACCATATCTGAAGAGGTATTGCTCGTGAATGAAAACATCTAGTGTTGGGTTAGAGCTTACAATGTTCCTTTGCACAGATGGATGAGTCGTGCTGTTATACGCCTCATGAGTATATCCAACTTTTTTTCTGTATAAGCTGTACTCTTGTGTCCGGAATAGCGCACCTACGCGTGCATCCAATAAATAAATGAGTGCCATCTTCCTGAGGATGGATTTTATTTGTTTGTTTATTTACTATTATTTACAATTGAAGCACTGAAACATTTTCATTGTGTTTAAGACAAAGGATTATAGGTTTTGGCCAAAACCCATCCGTGGTCAATCCCGGTTAGGAATGCGCCACGCTTTCCACTTACATCGTGGTAATCTGGATGGGAGTTGGCCTTCACAGTGATTTAAGGGCCAGCAGTTGGGAAGTCAGTATTTTTATCCTACCAGACAGTCTGGTACTGCTAAAATGAATTAAATAAATGAATATAATATGAATAGAAGGCTTTATTACTTTGTACGTTTCAATACTGCTCCTAATTTTTGAAACATCTACCCGTTGCGACGGTTCTGTAGCGTCGCGACGGGACTTGGAAGTTGTAAAACTCGCACTCTTTAAGAGTTTTCCTCGCTAATTGACCTAGCTTTAAATTGTCGTATCAATTTTTATAATTTTAATGTTGTTAAAAAGTGCTTTCCAAATCTGCTTGAATATGTGTTCAAATTTCCGTAGTAGAAAAGCTGCTCCAAGGTCAACCCCAAAATCGACACACGCCCTCAAGGCGGTTACAAGACTTATGTCAACCAAAATTTCGATGGAAGATTTTCAGGGAGGGTTAGGCAACTTTTTTATGACTCGGCTAATGAGGAAGATTGTTTCATGGACTTCAGCCACTCGGGGAGCGGAACGGGACCTACCAAAAACTTTTCCATACACCTCGCTTAACCCTGTCACGACCTCTGTAGTGGCAGACCACACATCATCCATCCATGGAACATCACTAAGACAGAGATCAGACTTTGCCCTTGAAGACAAAACTCTTCGAACGGTCTGTTGAAACGAGAATGCAGAGGGGGCAAGTGGCGCGTTCTTGAAAAACAACAAGCAAAATGATCAGAAAATCCGGGGAACCGCAACATCTTCTCCCTGAAATCTCATATTTGGATGATTTTGCGGCTGTTGTCGCTTGTGTAGCCATTGCCTTTTGTAATCAGGATTTATTTCGTTGAGGTTTGTTGAAACCGCAACCAAGATGTTAGTAACCTTTATCAGGCTTACGTTTCGGCCTTGTCGCCTTCGTCAGAGCCTGGAAAGTCAGCCTGGAAAGTCAAAGATCAGTGCGATTCATCCTCAAACACCATTTCAAACTTCAAGAACCGTCCCCTAGACCCAGTGGCTCTAGGAAGGCATCGCAAACACAAAACACTTGGACCCACCTAAAGACGAAATCGAATTGATAGTCGACCACACAATCGATCATAGGGGGGTGGCATCAGATGACCTGGCTCCTTCGGCATGAAGCCGGAGCTCACAGAGGCCAGAAAATGGCGCGAGTTCGTTAGTTATGGATAGGCATTCGCCTTCTTATTCATTTTAGGGGACCTAGCACTGATGATGAACGCCTCAAGGGTCTTGCGCGCCGAAGTGAGGGGTTCCCGCAGCAGAATCCTCACCGTGACTTCAAATGATGCACCTTCATGGGTCTGCACGCGGTGAGCACCCAGGGGGGTCTCCAGCCTAGCTCGGTTCAAGCCATCCAGGTGTTCCTTGACCCTCGCGCATAGGGGTCGCCCAGTCTCTCCGATATATTCGTCCTCGCATAGCTTGCATGAGATCAGGTAGATCACACCTGACGTCATGCAATCACCCACCCGTCCATTAGGGCAGATATCTAGAATTTATTTCACATGTTATCGTAACCTACTCGCGCTGCTCAAAAGAGTCCCTCACACGCGAAAGCGGAAGCTGAAACTAGAAAGATTTTGAATAAGCTATGAGATTTTAAAAGCTTCGTACAGTGAGTTTCAAAATTATATAAAGGCGCTTTTAAAAACAACTGTTTTCAGATAGGACAAAGGCTGCATTGCCCGTGTCATTGATCAAACTCTTAGCGTGCCGTGAAAGTATAGTTCGCTTTATTCCAAAGCAAAACCTAGGCTGCAAACATTTTTGTAAGAAAACTTGAAATGTCTCCTATTTTGAAAGTATAAGGGCACCCTGGCCAAGGAAATTCAACAATTTTTTTCCTTCCTGTCTACAGAACTTTCAAAGTTTCTGCAGAAGAACAGAATCCAAATGGTACCGCAACATCTTAACGGTAAACCTGAAGTCTTCCACAATATATACATTCCACAAGCGTAGGTCTGCGTTGTGCAGCAACTGTACTCTCTCTAATTTGGCTTGGTGTGGCAAGAACTCCAGTGACTACATGTTCTTGCTATTTTCGTTCCTGACTGAAGATCGCCAATTTAATTTAATTTTTATTCACGGCAATGCATCATCATCCACTGCTGTCGGTTCTATAACAGCGGCTTAGCATCAACGAAACCAAGTTTATAGGTAGCTCTCATGCAGTGGGCGGAAGTGGTGGTGTAGTGGCAAGTGGCACGCTTACCACGCGAGCGGTCCGGGGATCAAATCCTGGGTCGTGAGTCGCCCGGGCCAACCAAGCCTTCCATCCCTCCGGGTCGGTTAATTGGTACCAGACTTGTCTGGGAGGATAAAAACACTGACTTGTACATCGGCTGGCCCCCGCAAGTCATTGTATAGGCCACATCGCATTCAAACGCCACTACGAATGTACAAATGGAAGTAGAATGCGTGCCGCATCCCAAAAAGGGATTGATCAACTTTTTTTGTCCTCATGCAGTTCGCACCTAAACCCTATAGAGAACTTCTGGGGGACCATTGTGTGGCAGACCTACGCTTGTGGAATGTATATATTGTGGAAGACTTCAGGTTTACCGTTAAGATGTTGCGGTACCATTTGGATTCTGTTCTTCTGCAGAAACTTTGAAAGTTCTGTAGACAGGAAGGAAAAAAATTGTTGAATTTCCTTGACCAGGGTGCCCTTATACTTTCAAAATAGGAGACATTTCAAATTTTCTTACAAAAATGTTTGCAGCCTAGGTTTTGCTTTTTTTTCTCCCTGACAAACTTCCAGAGTCGAATTTCTCCTAGGACGAAATAAAGATTTCAGCACCATTCAGATGAGCTACACGAGGCCATCAAATTTCCCCTACAGATATTATTTCCGTCTAAACTATCCCCAACAAACAATGTCTGTGTCTTTTGTGAAGCGGGGAAAGCGTTATTCCTTGTGTGGCATTTGAAATGCCACGGCAGAGGATAGATTAACTGGGTTCCTTGAAAGCTTGTGTGGAAAAATGTGACATTGTGCAATTCCTGCGCCTTCGAAAGAATCTGCTTCTATTGTGATCATTTGACAGGAACACCATTTACCATTTGCA